GGCTGTCAAACCGAGGCCGCCCTCGAGCGAGTGCTGGCTCACTTGGCATTGCGAGGTGTCTCCTCGATGCCATTTTCCATAGACAACAGCCCTCCCACTCCTGCGAGCCTTTCCTTGCGTGACTCTCCGCAGTCTCCCTCTCCGTGCACCCCGCCGGCCGACCCTGCTGAGTCTTCTCTGTCCGTGCTCCTGACGGCGGAGCTCCCACCTGCTCGGCCACCATGCGCTCAGCACCCACCGTGTCTGGCTCCTGTGAGGTGTCAGGTGTGGAACCAGCCATAAACTTCTCAATTAACACCGAGGCACGACCCGCACGCAGTCCTGACAGACAGCGGTGGGCACCGCTCACTCGCCTCTCGGGACACACCGACTACCTTCTGTCCTCTCTTTTCTTTCTGTTTTAGAAAGCGATTTTGCTGTAGAGGACATGCATTCTCTGGAGACACAGAGAGATGGAGAGATCTCCCCGACAGCCATGCCACGGTCCTCCTCCTGGACTCTCCTCTCCAAATTTTGGGCTCGCATGCACATGTACCCGCCATGAGCTCTAGGCTGCCAGACCCAGGACCCAAACCACAGTCAGCTGGGTGGGAGTCCAACGCCCTAGCCACTGTGCCACCTGCTGGCCCCTTTCATTTTAACTGGCCATAACCGTCATACGTATTAGGTGGTCGAGGTGGTGATGTGTAACGTTCAAGAGCGGAATTAGCAAATCATCGCTCGTACCTCAATCATTTCTACGTACTGAAAACATTTTAAAACCTCTTTTCTGGCTACTCTGGAATCTAACGCATGATTGTTAATTACTGGGTCACCGGGAACGTCAGGACACACTTCTGCACCAAAAAAATTCAGCTGTTGGGAAAGTCGTGACACATTTTCTGTTTCTTGGCCAAACATGCATCGTGACTCCCGACTGCCGATTCTGTCCTGACTGTAGGGAGTGCCCGGATCTGAGCTCGACAGTGGTGACCTTCTGAGACAAGTGAAGGCAGGACCCACTGCCCAGGGCCAGAGCTGCACAGCCAGCGGAGGCTGAAGGAGACCGTTTCGGCCAGAGGAGGCCACGGAGGGTGCTCAGCACGCAAGGCCCACCAGGAGGAGGTGCTCCACAGCCCCGTGGGAAACGAAACTCCTGGTGTTCCCTCCCGCTTCTCTCTACCCTGTGTCTGTGTGATTTTTCTAAGCCACCGTCATGGAAAAACCTTCCCCTGGGGGTCCCATCATCCCACCTCACAGGTCACGGCACATGACTTACCTGAAGACCCAGTATGTCCACCTAACCTACAAGGGGACACCAGAACCCCCGCTCAGCCGCGAGCCCGTGCCGACCACCACTCCCCATCTAGCCGTGAGCCCATGCCAACAACACCTCCACACCCAGCCGTGAACCCGTGCTGACGACCACCTCCACACCCAGCCACGAGCCCGTGCCAACCACACCTCCACCCCCAGCC